CCCACCCTCCCCGGGATTCTCATATAACAAATGTTCTCCTTGTATAAATATAAACAGGAACATGTATACGTACATAGATACAAAATTCTAAAAATATATGTTATAAAAATGACTGTATGAAATTATATATGAATAAAATATCTATATATGTATATATTCAACTAGTTAATAAAACAGATTACTGTTGAGTGGATAATAAAAGCGACATTAAACTTGATTTAAAATGGCTTAGAGATGTAGTCGCAAAAACATGAGAAGGTAATGTATCTATTAAAAAATGAAAATTTAAAATAATTTATGCGGGCGTGTTATTAGTCTCCCTCGCATCCGTTTTTAGTGTCGGTCGTCACGCAACGCTCCCTGTGACGACCGGCACTAAAAACGGATGCGAGGGAGACTAGCGTGTTATAGGTCTCAGTTTAAAATTATGGCTAGATCCAACGTGTTTCACCTATTGATATGTAAAGCTTATAAAAATTGTAAAAGAAGAATTATTGATGTAAATCTATTTATAGGAAAAAAACCATTTGTGGCTCAGTGAACGCCAGAGAGTCTGTAAAAAGACATCTGGATTAGATAAGATAGGAATCAGAAAACAACAAGACGTTTTTTCGGTAGATAGAAAGAAGCAGGGAAAGGATTTGCGACTACATTTGAAGATCAACTATTAGTTATTTTTAAGCAGCAAGTGGGAGGTGCTTGCCCCCAATATCAACTGAATATTAAATACGACAATAAATCGCCATACGATCCGCATACTACTTTGACAATGTGATGGCGAAATTTATTGTCAATAAGAAGACAGACACATAAAAAACTGATGTCTATTTGTTTTTTAAAATAACAAAAACGATAAAAACTTCTCATTTTTAGTGATCAAAACAACCAACGGAAACTGAGCGCGCGCTCGTTGACGTCAGCTTTATCTGTCTGTCCTCTTATTGATAATGAAAAATAACCAATCAGCGCGTGATAGATTTGTCCGTTATTGTAAAAAATCGACTGATAGCCCCACCTTGTACTAGATAAATTTCTGTTAATTTCGATTAACCGCTAATTCTTATTCCAGTAATTGTTACAAAACTATGTAGTCTAGCGACTGTTAAGTTAAGACTGTTAAGCACAGTATTTAGTAGAGTTGAGTCTTAGTTCAGAGAAGAAGCAGCAAAGGCAGAAGTAGAAGTAAAGTTAGCTCCAGTTCTACAGTTGCAGTCCTGAGTTACTACTGAAGAAATAAAGAAAGAACAGAAGACCCGTAAAAAGCATTCAGAATCTTTGTGTCCGATTGGGAAAGTATCACTCCGCCACTTTCTCTTCGTGACAAAATACCTTTTCCTCAAATTTTACTCGACTACTGTACATAAGTAAAACCACTTGAAAAACCACACCATATGAATGTATGTTTCCGTAACATTGGATTCTGTTTTCAGTCAAAGATTTCTAGCATCTCAACAAGACTAAACCCTTGGAAAAATGCATATTTTCTGGCCGTGATAAGCGCGTTGGAGTTCAAACCTTCATATATATGTTTATGAAAATCATTTTTTCTGAAATTTTACAAAATGTATTTTGTTTTTCCTCAAAGAGTTCTAACATAAAAACAAGCCTAAGGCTGTAACGCGCGTTACAAGGCCTAAACCTTGATATATATGCTATAAAAATCACTTTTTATCAAATTCTACTCACTGTACGTAACTAGTAACATTTGAAATATTTCAAGATAGAAATGTTTATTCTCCCTAACATTGGATTTCCTTTTCCGTCAAAGATTTGTAGTATTTTGACAAGGCTAAACATGTTATAAAATGCGCTATTTTCAGGACGTGCGGCACGCGTTACAATTCAAACTTTGACATTTATTGCTAACAAAAATCATTTTTTTCCCAAATTCTACTATCACTGTATGTAAGTAAAAGCACTTAAAAATGAAATTTCCCCATTAATGTTGGATTTTGTTTTCCGCCACAGATTTCAAGTATTTTAACGAGCTAAAAGCTATTTCGAAAACCTTGAAACCGGCTTGATATCATAGCTCAATAAATCATAAGAAAAACCCTTTTTTTCAAGTGCTTCCGTTAAAATTCTTGAAAACGCAAAGCTTTCAAGGACACGTGCCTAGGGAGTGCGATGGAAGCGCCTTGATTGACGTCCATTAACATCCTACTTTTTCGCGATAGGAAATTGTAAGATTTCGCGCGTATAAACTTTTACTAAAAAGCATAATTTTTGAGCGCGAAACGCACGTTACTATTCAAACCTCTAATCGATGACTTATACTAGTTGTCGCATAGTGCAACAGTTAAGTGCAGCGAGCATGGGTGGAACAAAATCTGAGTGATTTTGGATGTTGACTTTTACAGCGCTTCTCAATCATACTCGTGAAATCGTACGATTTGCCATCGTTTTGGTGGACGTCAATCAATGCGTTTCCATGACATTCCATAGGCACGTGCTCTTAAAAGCTTTGTGTTTTCCGACAATGCTGGTAAAAACTTTGATTGGCGTCCACCAAAACTCTATTATGTAAACTCGTTTTTTTTTTTCACGATTTCGCGCGTGTAATTGCGAGAAGCGCAGTAACCATGCTTGTATGTATGTCTCTATACAGTGTGTGTGCAACCATGTGACTCAAAATCCCTCAAGATATAAATAAGAATGAAACAGCTAACAATGAAGCTAATGAGGAATGTTATGGTCAACCAAGATGGTGGTTATGACGTAACATGCACATGCTCTATTTTGCGTTGAATTTTTATAGTGACCACAATAATACTGGGGGGGGGGGGGAGAATTTCTGTCTAAAAATATTTGAAGAACGAATTAAAAATTACATATAAAAACAAATTGCTATACGCATATATTTTTATAAGTTTCACCAAATTGAGACTGGAATTACGAACAAACAGCAAGATCGTTCAATTCAAACATTTAGCTGGTATTTATATATAGATTACTGAACTCATTCAATTCAGGGACCACATCTTTGTGTTTTAATTGATGAAAGAGCATCCAAATAAAGCTAATATTCGAAAAGCATACGATTTATCGTAACCACTGTCGACTATATTCAGTTGGAAAAATTAAACGTCATAACAGCGCCCAAAAACTCATAAAATAGAATACCTTACCTAGAGGAATACCTCCATTTACTTAGGTGAAGTAATGCCGCTGAACAGACGTATTGAATGCTCCGAAAATCATCCAAAGCCCAAGATTTCAACAGACCGACTTCACAGACCATTATAAAGTACCTAGGATTCACACGGCCACTTAAAACACAGGAACTCCGTCAAGATTAGTGTCAGGGGAAAAAAAATTGAAATTCTTTTCTCCGTATATGATTAAAAACTCAAGAAATAGTTCAATAAGGGAATTAATATTCCATTAACATTGAATTTTCTTTTCTTTTTGAGAGGACTTTTTGAGGAGCACTTTGCATCGACACCAGGGGAAAACGTTTGCGCATGCGTGCACTTCAGCACGTTTTCTAAGAATTTTGAAGAGTTTGAGTGAGAAAATAAATGTTTGTTTCCTCCAAGTATACAAAAAAGTTCGAGAGTATACTTTTGTCAGACCAAGATACTGTATTAACAAACACAATATGGATTAGCCTTAAGTTTCAAGCATGGACACTAAGTTTTGACATTTTGTGAAGTCCAATTTACCAGGCATGTTTGAAAGTCAAATTTACATATGTTTTGATTAATTTGCATACGGATTCAGAGCATGCGCAGACGTTTTTCACTCGTGTCATTTGCATCGCAATAGGGCTTTTAAGCTGTGGCGTATTTCCGGGTCCATCACACAATAGATCGTTAAAATCTTACACAACTTATTCCCAGGATTTATTCTCTACTTTCAACTATTAGATTTTTGAGCAGAAAATCTTGTAATGAAGAAAAATATCAGAAAAATTTCTGTAGATGGTGTCTGTCTCGTCCCCTTAATCGTACCTACAATGCAATGCAAACTAGACCCAGTTCAGTTTGTGAATGACCTTTGAACGGCAAATAAAAACGTCACTTAGGTGACCCTACTTAATCCAAACCTGAAGCTTTTTCGGTTGAAAAAAGTCACTTCTCGAGTGAAACAGCATAAAAAAGCTTTATTGTATTCATTTAATGTTTTCTGCAGTAATCTTTCTTTTTTCTTTTTTAATCACAAGGATCGACGCCCTTGGAGTTCCGCCAAAATATGAACAGCCAGTGTCAACAATAACGTTGTATCGTCTTTATTTCATTTTACTATAGATGTAACCGTTATATCAGAGGCATGCGATGATTCACATCAACAACAAATATTATCATACAAATTAAGCAGTGTTTATATGAATGCGAAACGTACGGTAACTGACTTACAGCACGTATACGGTACGACATGCCGTAACACTGAAATGGCTTCCCATATGAATGGTTATTGTACGAATGGGAAACGTACGGTACTGACTTACAGCATGTACACGATACGATATGCCGTAACATTGAAATGGCTTCCCATAAGAAGGTTATCGTATGAGTTGAAAACATACGGTACTGGTTTACAGTACGTACACGGTACGACATGCCGTAACATTGAAATGGCTTCCCATAAGAATGGTTATCATGAGTGGGAAATATACGGTACTGACTTACAGCACGTACACGATACGATATGTCGTAACATTGAAATGGCTTCCCATAAGAAGGTTATCATGAGTGGGAAATATACGGTACTGACTTACAGCACGTACACGATACGATATGTCATAACATTGAAATGGCTTCCCATAAGAAGGTTATCGTATGAGTTGAAAACATACGGTACTGGCTTACAGTACGTACACGGTACGACATGCCGTAGCATTGAAATGGCTTGCCATACGAATGGTTATCAAGAGAGGGAAACATGCGGTACTGACTTACAGCACGTACACGGTACGACGTGCCGTAGCACTGAAATGGCTTCCCATAGGTCTTGATGGTGCTGATAGGATATATAGTCAAATAGATAGATTTTTCATGAGTGCACGTCAGGTAACCCACGCGACGACGTTCGTCCACGTGTAAATGATAGGGAAAGTCCTCTTTCTAATTGCGAGTATCGTCCCATGACCTTTTGAACAGCACATAATCCAAGCTTTTTGAATGCATTACGAAAGTCTCTGGTCATGCAACTGTAGATGATAGGGTTGAGGACTGAATTGAGGTAGTGCAGCCACTTGGTCAGCATTATTGCTTTATTGTCCACGATTGGGCATGTTCTGAAATAAACATTACGAAGAGCAGTTTTGAAATAAACATCGCGTTCTGATTAGTTGGGAGCGCACAGCACGCGTGCGCATTTTCTATTGAAGAAATAGAAAACGCGCGCGAGTGCTGTGCGTAGTTATAAAGTACGCAGTGGGTTGGCAGAACACGAGAGAAGTGTTAGAAGCACAACGCGTAGCACAGGAAGCAAGTTTTTGATATCTTTTATAAAACACAAATTACATTAATGACGAAACTGAAAGTGCGCGCGCGTGCTATGTGCTCTCATAAAGCACGCGCTCCCAACCAATAAGTACTCGAGATTTAGAGCAGTTATTTTATAACATATCTTATGTCGTACAAATCCCCAGGTGCTTTGTGTATGCACATAAACGCGCGCATGCATTTACTGTTTCTGAATTATTAAACGCAAAATCTAAGGATAACTTTAAGCTTTGGTATACAGACGCTCATAGTTTGAAAACATGCTATGACTGTGACGAGCAAAGTTGCATATCATTGGTTGAGAACATCATGCCATTACCATCAGCGTTGGGGTTCGTATCACGTGGTGGCTGTCACGCCGTACGCACTAGTTTCCAGCCTTTGAAATCGAGGATTTGTACGTGCAAAATCAGTAAGAAGACCTTCTTTGAATCCCAAATAACCGCTGTGTTCCTTGATCACAGACTCATTTACTCAGGGTTAGCCTCGTATCAGTGTTTAAATATTCACAAATACCAACGGTAAAGTAAAGAATGCACAATTTCAACAAAACAAACACTTTGATATTCCACAGACCTTCACTGGAACACGTGAATATTCTGCATAAAATCGAGGGTAACCATAGCAACAACAACAACAAATCGAAACGGAGTATTGCTTCAATGGTTTTCAAATGCGTCGCTTCTTGCCTAAGAAATGGAATAGACCTCTTCGGCTCTGACGTAATGTTTCCCCATTTCAGACCACATGTCATTCCCTAGAGTATCATTTCTTTGTTTAAGGTTTACGCTCGGTTGCGCATGAGAAGACACATTAATATGAATACAGTTCAAACAAAGAATCTTATTCTCAAGGGAATGACACGTGGTCTGAAATGGGAAAACATTACTCCAGGCCGAAGAGGTCTATTGTTTTAACATCTTAAAAAAAGATTAAAAATGACTGAATTATTGCACGTACCTACAGACAGCAAAGATGACGTTGATAAGGAAGAAGGGAAACCAGCAGAAAAGAAAGGCTCCCATGACGACTGCAAGAGTCTTGGCTGCTTTTAACTCTTTTGGTAAACAGAACCTTTTGGATTTCCCCTTGATTGTCATGGTCATCTTTTTAGCTTGTGTACGAGACACCTATGATTGATCAAAAACTAGTTATTATAATTTATAAAATAATTGTTATGAATCTAGCGTTGTGATTGTTTGGGAGCGCGAGCTTTACGCGAGCACACAGCACGCACGCGCACGTTTTATGTTGTCATTATGAAATAACTATATATATATATATCAAATTTTGATTGGTTGGGATTGCATGCTTTATGAGAGCACACAGCACGCGCGCGCACTTTTAGTAGCGTCATTACTATCTAAAATAACGGTTATTGTAATTTGTATTTCAAAAAAGGAAAAACACTTGCTGTGCTGTGTGGAGTTATAAAGCTCTTGGAGATTGACAGAACACTCGAGAAGTGTCGAGGAGAGCTCCTCTACGTGTCGTGCTTCTCTTATTAACACTTCTCTCGTGTTCTACCAACCCCCGCGTGCTTTATAAATACACACAGCACGAACGCGCGTTTTCCGTTCTTTTCAGGATCGTGAAGTCAACCAAGGGCGATAAACTGTAATACGTAAGAACATTCCTGGACAATGATAACGATAACGAAGACTATGATATAACGAATAAATCTTTTTCCCAATGCATCCAATGATGGAAACATAGAACACACGCGCGCGTGTTGTTATAAAGCACTTGTTTTTGTTAAAACCAGTTCCTTTCAAGTTGCTTTCTTTTTTTTTTTTTTTTTTTTTTTTTTTTTTTTTTTTTTTTTTTTTTTTTTTTCTTTTTTTCTTTTTTTTTTTTTACAGCCAAATTTCAATAGGTGTTGAAATCTTTACCACAAATACACACAACCATTTGCAGCGCACGCGCAGGCATTTGTGCTGGAAACAGTCATGCGCAATAGTGCAGCTTTCATACGACTGTAAAAGGCTCACGGCACGAACACGGTCTTTACACCGCAAGGCGTGCGCCAGCACAATCATATTGCACAATAATTTGCTCTCCATCCAATCAAATACCCGAAACACGGCATGAACAAAGCGCGGGCACGGTCACGCCAAGCTCACAGCACTGCCAGACCAATCACATTGCACGAGGATTTACTCTTCATCCAATCAAATGTCCGGAACACACGGTCACGCCAATGTCACGGCACTGCCAGACCAATCACATTGCGCGAAAAAAATTCCCCAATCAAAATTCTAGAAAACATCACGGTCGCGGCAACTCACGTGTACGGCACCGACTTTTTCACAGTCATGCGTAAACTGCTATATAGTGCAGTTTTCGTATGACTGTGAAAAATTCACGGCACGAACACGGTCATGACACAGCAAGGGATACGCCAGACCAATCACATTGCAATCCAATCCCATCCAATCAAATACCTGGAACACGGCATAAACACGGCGCGGACACGGTCACGCCAAGGTCACGGCACTTTTAGACCAATCACATTGCGCAAGAAAAAAATTCCAATCAAAATTCTAGAAAGCATCACGGTCACGGCACCTCACGTGTACGGCACCGACTTTTTCACAGTCATACGAAAACTACTCTATAAGGTACCTGAGTGATCACACCTACAGGGTAATATAAGTCAGGGCTTGGCTAACTCATCGAATTTTAAATAATTATAAAAAAATCATTACTGACCTTGAAAATTAGAATATAGGCACAACTCATGACAAACGTAGGTAAGACGAAGCACAAGATGAAGGCAGACAGCTGATACGCAGGCGGTGGATACCCCCATATAATAAACTTAATCATCGCCATTGTAAACGAAAAGACCCAGATAACAGCAATAGCTACTCTTGTTTTAAATGCGGTTATTATTTCGTGGTATTTGAGCGGCGATGATATACATTTGTATCGTTCAACACTGATGAAAGATAAATGTAGTATCGACGCTACACCACATAGAATGTCCATACAGGCCCATATCTTTCTTAACCACATTGGGTAAATCCATTCTGGTCCAGTTAACAGATACGCCGCCCAAACAGGCATTGAAAACACAGCTACAAGGAGATCTGTGAAGGCTAGTGAAACTACGAAGTGGTTCGTTACGCTACGTAATTTACGGAACATTGCGAAGGCGCAAATGACGAATGTGTTGCCTATTAAAGTAAGGATGATGATGATTATGAGGAAGAATGTGGACACCAGCTTGAATGTGAAGTCAAAGTCCTCGACTCGATGCGTTGAGGAGGAAGGAGTTGAATTTGTCTTCATGATGACTGTTGTGATGTTGGGAGACATGTTCCGTAACAAAATAAGAATAATATTTAACAATTATTCAGCGAAGGCGAAGTGAATATCGGTGTATAGTAAGTAAGTAAGCAAGGACTTTATTCAAAGAGGGTAACGCGAAAAAGTGATTACACTTATAAACTTGTGGCCCTCGCCTTAGTATTAAACCACACTACAATATATAGAGGATATTACATGGGCGCGCGGAGATACGAACTTCATCTTCGAGTGTTGAAAAGATCTCTCACAAGTGAGCGCAGCGAAACGAGTGAGAGATTTTCAACACGAGAAGATAAGTTTCGTATCTCCAAGCGCCCATGTAATATTCTGTTTAT